ATGCCGCCCTGGCTATAGCGTCAGCATTCGGCTGTAGTATTTTCGCACCGCTTACTATATCCCACAGTTCATTTTTTATGAGAACAGCTTGTGCTTGAAGGCACCAGGTGTCGTAATTGGATTTCGTTAATGCTTCTATAGAAATTCGATTGTTTGTAGCTGTTGCCATTTCTGCAATTTTATTTACAGTACTCCCGTAAACCACGCTCTGCTACCACTTGTTAGAGGGAGATTAAACAGCGGTTTCTATGAACTAATAACGTTTTATTATATAAGTATAAATATTCATATTTTAATTTAATGACACCACAAATCGACAGACGTTTTCAATTCATACTACACTATGGTATGTATTAGCGATGATCTACGGAGGTCGAATATCGTGCCTTGCTGGTTGACTACCAACATCTTCTTTGCTTTTTTAGTTTTCTTTTTTTTCTTCGCTTGAGACACGTTTCTTAACATTTTTAGATTTTCAATATCTCGTTTATAGTTATTTGGCATTCTCAAAAAAAAAAGTAATAGGTATGCCATTATACACCTTAAGTAGCTACTAACACACCAACAAACATCTAAAGTTAATAAAAAAAAAAGTAAAAATAGCCCAGCAGAAATGTGGAGTAAGATAGGAGAGTTGTGACAGGCTGTCACAACTCGCCTAGGTGTTCAAAATGACGTCTTGGTCCGAATAATAATTCATATTTTCTAAACACGATGTGCATACAAAAAATCAGTGCCCCGTATTGAGACTTAAATAACTACATAACTTAAGAAAAAATAACACATCAATGCACATATACTAAGATATGATATATATTCAAATAATATTTTGAAGAAAAACTTACTTTTCGTAATTTTTTGTACACTGACGATATATTTACGCAACTGTGTCATATGCACCGTCGACATGTACTGAGTCGTGTAGCGCGTGTCGAGAACGACAAAAAAGCGTTAATGCCATCTCGCTTACTATAATAGGTAGAGAGAAATCCTCCTTGTCACAACTCACCTCTGTCACAACTCACCTAGGTCTCCTCTACTATTCACATTTTCAGAAATTTGGAAACCAACTATATACTTTACCTACTGAACTAATAGGGAATCGTTTACAGTAATTCCTTAGATAAAATCACTTTTTAAAATTTAAAATTTGGTATTTGGAAATTTTTCCAGTTAGTGTGATATGAAACAAAACTACCGATCCGGTTTTGACAAAATTTTTACACGAAACCACCTCAGACTATAAGCTGAAGGCAGGCAAATGACTTGCACTTAAACCATTTTATAAATTGAAATTTTACTTTGTTATAAATTACTCAATTACTATTTTTTATACTATCTAATAAAATATATATAAATAATATTAGATAGATTTATTGCAATGACAAATCAAATAGTAAACAACTTCCACTCCAATTTTCATTCCTCAAAGCGCTGATTTTCGGTATAAAATATAACCTATCAAATTCCCAAGGTCTTAAACTACTCAAATACCATTTTTGATAGATGTAGGTCGAAAAACAAACAAATTTCATAAAAACGTTTTCACCCTTTTTGACCCCCTTCGTGGTTCAATTTCCAAAAATCCGTTCTTAATGCACCTCTACGTAATAAGAAGAGTGTACTCTCCAAATATTAGGTCTAACAACAGCGGTTTATGGGCTTTGCGTTGTCTGTCAGTTAGTATGTCAGGACATCTTCTTTTATATATGTATAGATTACATAGTAAATATAAAACAAAGTTGCCTCCCGCTGTTTATGTACTGAGATCTTTGAAAGTACACAAAGAATGATAAAACAATTCAATATACAGAGAGATTGAATAGGAAGTTTATAGGTAATACAAAACCATGCCGGCGAAGCCGCTGGCAGCAAGCTAGTTGTATAATAAATTCAAGCTTCCTTCTTAGTGAACCCATTACCCGACCTGTAATTAAGCACTGTGAAGTGAAAGAGCACAAGAAATGAAGCTTTATATATTAAAGATTTTAAACGTGTCAAATCTTTCAAATTTTACTGCAATCCAATGAAAACAATATCTGCTTTGACGTAAATCGGTGAATCAGTTGTTATTGTATTCAATAGGTTGCAATGTACCACTTACCCTCCTGAACCCTCAACGCAACATAATTATTGACATAATTATTCATTGCTAGTACCTAATAATGTTTGTTTCTATGTATAGGTACACGTTACTCGTTTTCTTTGGATAACCTTATGAACTACTGAGGCGTATCTTTATTTTTCAACTCTAATTCCATTTATATTGATTGTGTTGTTGTACGTGTAACTGTATCACAATATCGTTTGACCGAAAACAATTAGTTTATGTACCTATTTGAGTAAGTATAAGTAAATATGAATTTCACAATGTTTTTCCTACCTTATCCATATCATAGTAACTTGAAGCCGGTACTTGCATATGATAGGATTCTTTTAGGAAAAGCCCAGCTTTTCTTACTCAAAAATTCTGTGTTTGAGGCTCAAAAATTCTTTTATAGAATAGCAAAACAGAAAGCACTATTTTTTTATATGTATGTTATCCTGGAGTGATTTATGTAGATTTTATCATGCACCGCCGAAATGGCAGTCGGGACAAGATAAGTGAGGCTCCGAACAAAAAACAAAAGTTCTTTTCGAACCAATTTCATGCTTAGGGGAGGCCGGGGCTGAAAGTTCCCGGGCTAGGTTGTTCCGACAGTTATAACTTTTTAAAGTAAAGAGGTAGTAACACAGGTGAAGTGCGTCTTATAAGCATCAGATGACGCGCTGCGCTGCCGACCATCTTAGTGGCTCCGACACAGTGGCGTAACGTGCCTTGGCGGGGCCTCGTATAAAAATTAGATTGAGGGCACTTATGAAGGGTAATGATTTCTCACAAAAGAAAATAAATGTTTGTATAAACTGCGCGAATTGTGTGGCCAACTTTGAAACGCATGCTTTACGCGGGAAAAAGAAACTGCTCTTTTTGGCTTTTGTAATTTCTGAAATAAAAAGAAATATGGGAATTTTTTTATTAATTTTTTCTTACGCACGTTGGAGGCCCCCGTCGTCCGGAGGCCCCGTATAATTGATACGGCAGATACGGCGGTAACTACGCCCCTGCTCCGACAACGGCGGATAACGGCTGTGTGTACCTTGCTATTAGAACACTACGGGAGTAAATTTTTCTCGTATATAATTTTTTGGTCTATTTTTATTTATTATTTATCGATTTATGTGTAACTTTCCTATTTGAGAGTGGCATTAGTTAGGTATCTTATTGTCTGAATGTTTTTTCAATTAATTTCGTTAATTTGCTAGTACGACAATTTTTATAGAAAAACTTAAATTGGGGCTATAAGTTTCCTCCTAAAGGGGCTGGTTGTTCCGCGGAACATTTTTTTTTCTATTTTTTGAGGATGATACGTACCTACAAACGAAAATCTGAGAGAGGGAATACCTCCAAAATATGTATTGCACTAAGCTACCAAAGCTGTCATACAAGATGGAAGAAAAATTAAAACGGTTGCCATAGAACTAGAAATTAGCCAAATGACGTTACATCGATTTGTTAAAAAAAATTGAGCTGGTCCTTCCATAGCCTACAAAAGCAGATCAGTGTATAAATGAAGCTGATATTACTTATGTGTCCCAATTGTGAGTCAGATGAAAAATTTAATGATTAATTAGAAAATATGTCAACGTTAATTATGTTAAAAACAAAGACTGATGATTTTATTGTAATTCTACAAAAATAAATATAATTTTATCGCCTAGATTTATTTAATTTAATATTACTTCGATTACAGTACTAAATGAAAATAATATGGGCATTAGAAGTTCAATTTTGTTATTTGATTAGAATTGAAGTTGTGATCTCACTTGTCATTACATTTAATAATGAAATGTTAGTCTGGAGTATTTATTTTTAACTTGATGAATTTATTTTATAGTTTAAAATAAACATTTATCTGAATGTATTTTGTTTTTTTTAAGTTGTGTTATGAAAGTGCCAATATTTTTTAGTTTCGAAAAAAATTTATCTCGAGGATCCTTCCAGTTAGAATTGTTGTATCCTAAATTATTATTAAACATGTAGGTAATAAGATTTATAAGCTAATAGATCTAAATTTTAGTTACCAGTGCAAAATATTTTTCTAGATGTAACTAGTAATGTTTTTTTGTTGTTTTATTTGTAGTTTATAGCATTACATATTTTATTTCTATTATCCAAGCGGCACAATTTGCCCCACACGTGGAACAACTCGCCCCAGCGCGGGGTTGAATGTTTCCTTCCGAAATTTTGTAATAATATGCCTGTAACAAAAGCCATTTAGGTACTGGCAGAAATTAGTATACTATTACAGAGACCGATTAAGATTCCGTAATTCCATGATATTTGAAAATCGGAACTATCAGCCCCGACATCCTCCCAAACTGTTCAAAATCTTTATAAGCAGTAATTTCATTACGCTTTGTATGGGACACGAAACGAAGATTAATCTAAGGGGTCATATTGTCAGTGTCAACACAACACAAACTTCTTAGTGAAAAAAAAAACCAGTCTATTGGACTCCAACCCACGACATTTTGCTATCCAGGCGACTGCTTTAACCAGCTATCTGAGACCGTACAGCTGACGAATTTTTCAAGCACTTCTTACTTTTCGCTAATATTGAGAAAAACTCACAAACATCCAAACCTAAAATTATCGCTTTTAATATTAATCAGTCAAATTAAACCCCGTTAATGGAATTACAATGTATTACTGATAGCTGGACGTTTTTAGAGATAGGCAAAAATAAAATAAATATGATACATAGTCCTTACATAAATTTAATTGTCAATATCGACATCATACATATTTCAACCAACCTATCTACAAAACGTCCAGCTACCAAATTGCACCTCCGCTAACAGGGAGGTCTAACAGAACTCCGTTAAGTAATCCTAATATACCGTTTGGACCTTTTATTTTACACAAAAATAGGAGGGATAAAAAACAAACTTAAATATATAATTTTGCTAGAACAATAATTTATTTAGAAAGTAATTAGAATTTATAAGACATACAAAAAAGTGCACCAATAATGAAAGCTGCAATAAATAACATTGTAGCAATAAATATAATCAAACTTGAATAGTTTTTATCAAAAAAACCTACACTAAAACACGTTAATGTTAAATTTGTCAAGTCACTCTTAGATCAATTTAAATGAGTATGAAAGTGAAGAATCTCTAATTTGGCACAATTTGTGAAGAGTAATCAGAGCCCTATCTAGAGATAGACAATTTTCCAGAGCGGCACAAAAGAGAGACGGGAACATTGAGATATTACTTATTTGGAGATTAGTAGTGCAAAAGATGGTAAATGTATTTTTTGCCCAAAGCGGTCAAATAGCTAGGTCGGATCCTTTACCATACACACATATATTGTTATGCATAATCAAATCGGGAGTCAATAAACTGATTGTTCAAATGGATAGATATTTCATTAATATACGTGTACCCACTAATTCTACTGCTTAGTTCTTAGGAAGGGATTTTTCTGTCAAACCAATAGTATTTTTTGTAAATATTCTAACTGAACAAAAATAATCATGATTCAAGTATAAATGCAATTCGTTTAATCATTGTCTGTTCATTTAGATCTGGAAAATGGGACACATTTTTTTATCAATTTATTTAAATAATATTATATATATTCTTTAATTATCTCTTTGTACTTGCATAATTTATTGATTTATTATAGGGGTGTTAGGCAAAATAAAAAAAAAAACATTGTCTTGAACAACGTACCGTGAATAAATAAGGAGTAGAATTATTTGGGAACAAAGATTCAGTTTATGCTCTTTCTGCTTGAACTAATTACATAATTAACTATGTTGAGGTTGTTGAGGAGGCACTTGCTGGGCTTGTCCTTGAGCGGGAGGCGAATAGCTCTGAGCTTGATTTTGAGCTGGTGGGGCTTGTCCTTGATTCTGTGGTACTTGTCCTTGATTCTGTGGTACTTGACCTTGATTCTGGGAAACTTGTCCTTGATTCTGCGGTACCTGTCCTTGATTCTGCGGCACTTGTCCCTGAGTTTGTGGAACTTGCCCTTGAGGTTGACCTTGGCCTAGTTGAGCTTGTTGCCCTTGCGTGTTCGAACCTTGTACGTTGACCGCCTGGGCTTGAACGGGCGGCGGTATTCCTTGGTTATTGTTCTGATTTGTTGGCACTTGATATTGTCCGGGGTGAGCTTGAGGAGGTTGGTTTGGATATTGGCCTTGAGGTGGTTGATATTGTGGCTGATAGCCTTGAGGAGGAGCTTGGCCTGGGGGCATATGAACTTGTTGAGGAACTTGACCAGGAACTTGCTGGTAACCTAGAATGGTTACAAACGTTATGTTATTGCTGGCTACAACAGAATACTGGTGCAGCGCGCATACAACTTAAACTGAACTAAAGTCAACTTAAGAACGCTGTAAATGGTACATAAACAGACGAATATTAATATGTAACTTTTTTACAAACTCATCGGCTTTACCCTACAATTAAAAATCGGCGGAGTTAAACGGATATGTATTTACGGCTTAGAGAAGTTACTAGAAGTTTGATACTTTTTTGCAACCCAAGAATTTCCTTATTAATGTACATTTTTGATTACTGCTAATTAACCTAATGAGTTTTGCCCATTCGTCTTGAGAAGAGCTTTCGCTAGAGATAATTCAAATAAAACATAATTTATTCAATCTAGGCTCTTACAAGCACACTTTACATTATGTCATCAGTTTACAAATCTAGCTTACCCTCGAGACCTTGTACTAAGAAGAGCGGTCAGAAACCAAGCTTTTTTTCTCCCCGTTTTATTTCACACAAGAGTAATTCCAATTTAAAATAACTTTATTAGACTAAAAAGTCACGTTCCATTACATGAAAGATTACAAAAAGAGATAATTCTTTCGTTAAGCGATTAATAAGCCGCGTCATACTTTGACCGTCGTCGCAATCGTCATTTAAACCGATTAATGACAATAAAACTGGTATATAATATGCATAATAACAGAAAATAAACAAAACGCTTATTTTTCTATATAAGATTTCTGGTCCAAGATATATCTTGGGTATACCCAACAAAAAGTAGTTTTTAAGAAGTTTTTAATATTATCATTATTTTACCTTGGGGAGGCATTTGGCCCTGTGGATATTGTTGGCCATGGTACTGCTGTTGGTAAGCTTGCTGCTGATATGCCTGATGTTGCTGATACGCCTGATGCTGTTGGATAGCTTGATGGATCTGATGTTCAGCGCCGGGTAATGGTCTACCATGGGCATCCACCTAACATTACGCATATTTTTTTTTTTATTAGAAGTCTTAATCTCAACCTTTCTTTTTTTTTTGTTTACATGATCTATACTAAGCACGTTGGTGCATTTATGATCTCGTAAAATATAAATAAAGTATATTATTCACTGTCTTAACAATATACCAGGTTATTTACATAATAAAAATATTTTATGAATTCATATATTTATTTACATTAGTTTTGAGTCCAAAAATTTGATATAAATGTACCACGTTGAATAATCTTCTCACAACAGGAAGAACCGGTATCGTATAACAAGAAAAAGAAGAAGCAGTATAACAAGTGAAGGAACTGGCTTAAAATAATTCAATATAAGGCAGAACGTGCGCTCGTTTTAAAATTGCTCCTGCTGCGTAGAGCAAATATATATGAATCTAAGCGAACTAACAAACAACATAAGCGAACTAGCTCTCAGTTGCCGTGTGAATTGGACCATTAGATTATATAATGAGCGATATTTTATGTTAAGATATCATATCTTCACCATCTGTTACCAGCTTAATGTTACTGTTTACAGGTTAACTTACATTTGATAAAAAAAAATAGCATATGTAATACAAACCATGAAACTATTCCAGTATTTCAAATACTTGTATTGTGAGAAAATTATGCTTATGGTTTATGTATAGATCTTATTTTTTTTAAATATTATGAGTTACTTCTTATGTTACAATTTTATTAGTATATCTGTATGTTCGTACAAAGTGGTACAACTGTTTTTGTAATATTAAAAATGTATACATTTTCATCAAAGAATGTAACAACAGTATAAATGATATTACTATTAATAAAATTAAAAAACTTACTAAACCACGCTGTTGCAAATAACGCAGCTCTTCTAATCTTCGCCTTTCATATTCTTGGTACTCTGCCTGTGAATAAATTTGATTCTCATCTATTGATTTCCAACCTGAAACATTAAACGAATCAAGGTTTTAATAAAACATTATGATTGACAGTAATTGGCAGTGTTTCACAGGTAAATTAGATATGATAACTTAGTACTTATCTAATAATTTACCTGTGTAACACTGCAATATTTAAGATTCTTTTTTGATATAGCTAAATGGTAGTCCATTTAGCAACATCAAACATAATAAACAGTATAGGGATGACACCTGTGTTAAAAGGGAAATTTTATGTAGTCCGTTAATACGATAATTGAAAAGTTTAAGATATGCATTTTATGTTTCAATTTAACAAAAACTGGCTTAAATAAGTAAGTATTTAAGTTGAAGACTGGGCTCACTGCATCACAACTATGCAGAAAATGTACAAAGGTGTGACATTATGCGTCATTTTGGCTTATTCCGTTTATCCACTCTGAAACAGACACCCTAAGGTGGATACTCGGAAACGTGTTTTTATCTATCCACCCTGAACGGAGTGGATTACAGGAATCCGCATCATAATTTTACTTCCGATTTTTGCCCCGCCTGTGTACAGTCATTTAAAAAAACATATAAACCCAGCCCAAGATACTTGGTACCTAACATTAAAAAATAAAAAAAGTTTAATGAAAATGTGATTTTTATAAACACACGATAAAAGCTTTTGTGTAGGAGACAATTTTATTCCACTGTACTTGGGGTAAAAAATCGTAAGCACATTCAAAAGTGACTTCCATCTATACACCCCGTTCAGGGTGGATAGATGAACACGCATTTCCGAGTATCTGTTTCACCTTACCTTAGAATAGCTGTTTCAGGGTGGATAGACGGAATAGGCCGTTGTTTTATATCAATGTATCGCCGTAATTTATTGATTACGCAATAAATAAAAAGAAAACAGTCATCGTACCTATTTCTATGAAATGTTTTTCTGCAATTTTTTTTTTTTTTTTGGTTCTTTATAGTGAAGCAACTATGAGCAAATATAATTCCAACATACCCTCATCCTGATTGAAGTCAGAATTTTGTGTTTTTGTCATAAACTCGTTGAAGTCAATCAATCCGTCACGGTTGAGATCGTTCTCCTTGAATACATGCTCGCGCATTCTCTCCATTTCCTCCGCCCTCTCGTGCAGATCCTTATTGGGCCCACCGGGACCGTACAACTTGTCCAACTCCTTTATAAACAGAGCTTTAACTTCGTCAGCATCCCAGGCTCCGTTACCATCAACATCTGTATAGTAAAGTAGACAACAACTTCTAATAAGGAGTGCATATTAAGAAAATTCCTTTGAAGCATTTTTGTTTCAAAATTTTAACCATTTATTATATTAAACATTGTAAGGTCACAGTTTTTTTTTTTTTTTTTATTCGAATATAACCTTGTAATGTAATAGTCAGTTTTTGGTGACATATAATTAATTTATATTGTTAATCTGGTAATGATAGATTTTTATGAATATCGCTTCCTCTATTAGAGGTGATGAGTTTCTTTAGCTTTTCTTCTTTTCAGACAAAAGACGTCCTGAACTAGTGGTAGGTATAACGTTGGACTATTTAAAAGTACTTTTTATAAGTTTATTTAAATAACAATAACTTTGACTTTTAAATACGCCGTATATTTCGGTTATAACAATAACTTCACATTGAATCCCTTGCAATTTAAACAGTCATCCATTTAGTAGAATATATGTATCAGCTGCTGGGTCACAACTCTTCCCTATTAGACGTAGAGCTCTTCAAGACAGACAGCTCTTCAGCTCTTCGAGACAAAAATGTGCAAGAGCTTCTTAAGCTCAATATTTCGGTATTTTTAAGTATTAGGTTATCATCACTCGATAACCAGTGCGGAGGTCAGATACAAGAACAAAGTTCTAGCGATGGCTGAATATGTTTGTTCCATTAAATTGTAGCCTGAGTATTTCTTTATGAACTAACTACTAATAATTTAGTAAGAAATCAACCATTACGAAACTCTTTTTCGGAGCTCATTTAACACCAACTTTACGATTGTAAAATCTAAGCAGTTTAATCTACTTTTATTATTAAGAATAATTTTCTTGCTAATTTTAAACTGTTCTAAACGATTAAAAAGCGCCTTTAATATGTTTACGATATCTCGTACTTTACCGTGTTGTCCCGCAGTCACCGAGTGTTCCAGTATCTGACCTCCGTACTGGGTACTAAGTCAAGTATATATATACCCTTAGTACTTCAACATACTTAAATATCAAGCTTTAGAAAGCTCTTGAACATTTTAGTCACGACCTCTTAGACAAGACTATATGGATGGGCCGACCACGCGAGCTAAGTAATAACAACTGCAGATGCAGCCGTGACTGACGGTTTGCCTTCTATGCCTTCCGTAGCATAACAGAACTACAGATAATAATTTTATAGTCATCCACCCTATAACCATAAAACCATCGAATCCTTTCATAAAATATATCACGCCAACGTGTTAGCTTCATATTGAAATAAATTTGATGAGTTTATATACCTACTCAACATAATACTAACCAGAATTGCATCGCCAATTTGTATTTATAATTTTAAACAAGACATTTCAGAAATATAATTGATGATTCTTGGAAGCAAAAATTAATCTAAACAAACACAACTCGAATATTAACTTCAAGTACGTATAAGGCTCTTATCAAGCGAACAATACGAAACTATTTGAGTACTAACTCATAAAACGCTTCTTATAAAACAAACGCATATACATACCATGCAAAACAAATGCTGACAATAAGAAATTTTTAATGTATACATGCACTTGTGTAAAATCCAAAACAGCGTGCTAAATAATGAAAACAAACAATCCTTTATTAAGTGGAACGTCACAGTTTCATCATTTACATTAGCTATCAAATTAGCTAACGCCATAAAAAAAACATCAAGCCATCAAGAGATGGCATTAGTGTTCCGATTTCATGACCAAAGCCATCTGTCAACAGCCAATTCGAAAAAACTTAAACGTTCCACATTCAAACATTCCTTACAATCGACTATATACTTCCAAACTACAACAATGATGCTACACAGCACGCTATAGGATCTTACCATGCATCATGAAAAACACCTTTGGGTCGAAATCTTTCGCATCCATTTTGTCAGCGTTTTTCCATATCTCTAACAACTGATCTCTGGTGACCGGGTGACGGAGCTGCCACAGATAACATCGAATTAATATAAAATTTATAACGTAAACCACTCACCATGCATCATGAAGAATACTTTAGGGTCAAACTGTTGGTCCATATGATCCTGTTTCTCCCACACCTCTTCCAGTTGTTGTTTAGAACCGGGATGGTGAAGCTGTACCGTTAAATTTATGTTCATATTGGCAAGTGATAGTTGTAAAGTAACTATGGAGTTAATAATGACAAGGGCAACATATGGTAACAAATCTAAGATTATTTCTCATTAATAAAAAAACTTTACTGTTCCTAATATATCTATACTATACTAATATTATAAAGAGATTTGATTGTTTGTTATACCTATATTTATTTGCATCGTACAGGCTTCGAAACTAATGGACTGATTTTTAAATTCTTTTACCTACGGGTAGTTACATCATAAGTGGATGACAAAAGCTATCATTTCGAAATAATAAAATAAATAAGAATATAAAAATAACAAATAAAATTTTTTTTAGGTTTCTCTGTAATCTATAAGAACTATTTTCTGAATTTAAATAAAATATACCTAGTAATTCGGGAAAAATAAAAAATTCGTCCTAGTCTTTAAAGAACAGGAACACACTAGCGATTTTTAATCAGCTGATAATTTAGGACCTTTGAACGATCGATTTTTTATCAACAAATGCATGCACTTTAGTATAGTTCAGTAATGATTTACCAGAGCTATTAAATTATCGGAGGACTAACCAACGGCAGTGGGATTCTCCTCTAAATTACAAAATCTTAAAAACTGTATAATTTTGCGCATGTTAACTAAACATATCATGTGAATAATTTTGGGTAACTTTGTTTTTGTAACATCTATTGTTACTTTAAGTACAAAAAAAAATGCTACAACCATTTTAGGTGTGAGCATGATATAAATACTAAGCGGTTTTTTATCGTACTCTTAAGATAAACATAATCGTCATAGTAGCGGCCTCCTTGGCCAAAAATAACCTTGACAAATAATCTAATTCTTATATCATACAGAAAAAATACCATTTTAAAAGATATTTCTAGAAGTAAATAGTATGGACAATTGTCTTCAAAACAATTTTCCTTAACATCCCTATTACAAATCCAAACAAACTCACTACACGGCCATTACAAATTGATGATCGAATTCCGTAGTAATTTTGCAGTTATATTTATTGACATACGATAAATTAATTTTGTATTTAAAACTTGTGAAATCTTAGTTCTTACACAGTGCTAATATTTCCTGGTAATTTTTTTTTTTTATTACAACTATCTTGACGTTTTTTTCTTTGTTTACGATTTTGGTTTAGGTGTATCTTATAAGGAAATCTTATGTTTTTATTATATCAGAACGGTATATTATTAATTGGGGGTTCCCCTTAGCATAAAACTTGGACAACAATTAATAAATAAGAATTAGATATGAGAAAAATCCCCTTTCCACATTACAAATCCAACAATGTAAACTCGGTTGCCTGATACAATCATCAGGAAAGTGTTTCAAGTTTGTAAATACTTATATGACGTGTTATACACACAAAGCAACACATCCGGGTACTATGTAAAGTTAAATTCTCACGGTTTTGAATTCTATGAGAAACATGTTAAGGCTTAAAATCTATTGATATAATTTGACATTTTTGTATAACATTACGTGCTACATCAATACACAAGTTGTGGTTTTTGGTTATTTAAATGATTGATATATAGATACATCAGCGATTTATTTATGTGATATTTTCAACAAATAATGTCGTACATAATCCCGTATTTTTAAACACCTTAAACGAATCTGTAATATATACATATTATTACTAGATGAAAATAACTATGTTTGTCGCGTTCAGAAATACAGATAGATGAACTTAAATTTTTCTGAAATTTATCTGCTAACGGCTACTTGGTACAAGGATACTTTATTCCAATATTGAGTACACACTCCATAACGTCAATATAAAGAAATAACTTGGAATTTGAGAGCTGATTTTCACTTTTTATAATGACGTCATGAAATGAATTATATGACACGATTTAATGGTCAACTTTAATAACAAGTTAATCGCCTGGTTTCAGGCGTGCCGTTTAGGGGTTCGTCATCTTTATTCTTCATCACTGTTGTTCTTTAATATAATCATTGCCAAACCAATATCTTGAACTTAACATGAATAGCCATGATTGTATGGAGTGAACTAACGACCGCGAGCAAAACTAAAACAATATGACTACCCGCAGACCACGCCTATCTGTCAATAGTTCATTAGTGGGAAATATAAATTTCATATAATCCAATATGAAACGGCTGATGTTTTATGGCCTGTACAAGATTGTATGGGACCATAACGCGACCTCGTGTTACCAGCCACAGTGTAATAGTCCGCTTCACGCGCGTCGCGTGATAAGGCAATGAACATGTTAAATATCGTGTGTCAATCGAAAGAGTGCAAAATATAAAATCAAACAACAACTAATCTTACCGGTTGATGATGTTTCTTGGCATCCTCCTCTTGTTTCTGCTTTTCCATGAATTCCTTTTTTTGTGTTTCATCCATACCTTCCAACTTTTGATGTTTGTCAAATTCTTTTTGCATCTCATATTCCTACAAAAATCATTGAATAACAAATGTTCATGCTTACATATTTTACCGTTTCTCAATACTTTAGACAACCAGTTCTTTTTGATAACCCATAATTCTGAGGTTATGTTCTAAAGCTTAAAATAATACAAAAGTCTAAGAAAATGTGACTTACAAATGCACAGTTTCGAAGATAACGTCAATTATAATTTAATTAGTTCAAATTTAGGTACTGCATCTAATAGTTGACTACTTTATTTTTATTATATAAATACCAAATTCATTAATGCCTGAGAAAGATTGTAGAAGTAACAGCATGTAACAGCAATAATTTCGGAGATATGGCGCTGTGACGGGTTTTAATGCTTAGGCAAATGAATAAAAAGCTGACTTAGCTTTAGAACTTGATTTAATGAAGGGTAACAAAAAAACTGTAGCATTAAAAGGCATATAAAAACAATTCGTATGGTTACCTAAATAACAATACAAAAATAGTTAAATAGAACAATAGGGATGATGACTGGGTAAAAAAAATGCAATTCTATTTAGTCCGTCAGTCAGATAATAGAAAAATATTAGATACGTATTTTTTTTACTTCAATTTAACAAGAAATAGTATAGATAACAGCCATTAAAGTTGAGGAGTGGGGGCTCGCTACGTCACAGTTGAATAGAAAACGTACTTTAACGTGACGTCATGCGAAATTTCAACTCAATGTAACGCCGTAATTTTATGATTACGAAAAAAATAAAAAAATACGTGTTTAATATTTTTTAACACTCTACCTGATGGACAAACAAACAAAAATTAGTCATCATCCCTATTGTATACCCCCTTTTCCTCAGGTTTCATATAGTGTACATTAAGAACAGGTATCAATATTTATTGATACCTGTTCTTAATGTACACTTTTTTAACGCTTTTTTATATTAAATTGCTATTGATTGAAAATAAGTATGTATAATGTTTTTAACTCGATGAATTTTCACATACTGACATTTAAAAAAATATTTACATGCTATTAAATTTTATAACATGGTCTCATCAACATCCTAGAGTTAAGGAATATCAAAGGAAACACGTTGTATAAACACTATTTAGATAACACATGAAATTTCGGAAACCGAATTTGTTTTTAAATGTATAGAGAAACAAAAAAGGAAGTTTAGAAATACATATTATTAAGTCGTCTAAATAAATACACGAATTTTGGTACCTTGAATTCTTGCTCTCTCTTCTTATCTGCAGCATGTAAATCTTCTGTAGTCTTCTTAATGAGACGCTTGAGATCTTCAATCTCGAAAGTGTGTGGATTACCATGGTCCAAATGTTCGTTAGTTGGTACTTTTCCCACATGTGTATCAAGGTTGTTGGTGAGCTCATATTGCTATAAATCGACATAATGTCAATTGATAAACAACACAATTACAAAGAGCATTACATGCCGACATAAAATATAATTTATCTCATTTAACAAATATTAATACATGATCATGAAATCGGTGTAATTAACTTCTTATGCACATTGCATTACAACAGTGAGACAAAATGTACCAGTCATTATTTTTCAAAATAGTGTAAATTAAAATTTACAAAAGTATATAAAATGATGAATATTCAAAAGAAGCAAATTATTTTACACAAAACATATTAAACAGCCTCAAATTCAAACAATTGACATAAGCAAATAATATTAATTGTTACCTTTGTTGCAAGATGGCGAAGTCTCTCTAACTCACGACGTTTAATTTCATCCAGTTTCGTCCGAACATTGTGATTAACGAAATCAAGTTGCTCAGCTATTTTACCCGACTGTAAGTAAAAAATTTATGCTGCTCATGTGTATTCGTTACATTTTTTATAAATATATAAAAGAATACCATACCCTCACATCCTCTTCATCAGCTTTCTCTAGACGTTCTCTGAAATCTGGATCACTTTCTAGAGCTTGCACTACTTCTTTCAAATACCTATGATACTCCATATACTCCTCCTAAACAAAAAGTTTCATTATAATCATCAATATACTTAACCAGTAATAGAAGTATGTAGGTCTTTATGAATCAATATTTATAATAAACGGACACACCTAAAATATTCAAATATTACATATCACAATACCACTTAAAGTTATATTAATATACATATAATATATATTAATATTAAATATTTGATATATAAAGTGATATCATTATATCAATTATCAATGAATTTCACAGATACAGTTAACTAGTTCATTAAATATTCAATGCCCAACCCGCAATAAATTCTTTAATAAATTAATTAAAGAATTTATTGTAATAATTGGAGAAGGTTATCGCATTTGGGACAGTAATTTTAAATTGATAAGGTCTCGAGATGTTATATGCGAGGAGTACCCCTTGCTCAGAGAAGTTTAATGTTTGGAAGAGGACAAACCACAGACCAAATGTCTGCCTGAGCACTAGTCTGTATTTTTTCCAGATAAAAAGATAACAGTAGAGCTAATGACGAACCTGAAATTGGAGAACAGTTAGAAGTTTTAGTGAACGACGAAAACAACAGCGATAATCAAATCGGTAGAACAATTGAGATGGAGTATCACGAAGCTGAAGAGAAGTCGATTACTGAGCCTATGAGAGGACACTCCGTTGATGCTCAAGATACAGACGACGAAGCTGATGACGCGCAACTCTTTGTGAGCGACGTAGAGAATGAAGGCAGAATGACGCTACGTAATCGCAGCAATCTCAGACCACCAAATCGATATCGTGATTATGTCTGCAATGTTTATCACGTACAATCTTCATCTGTTGATCCTCTGGCAGAGCCTACAAGTTTCAAAGAAGCAATTGAAAGTGCCGAGTTAGATAAGTGGCGAGTAGCTATGGAGAGTGAGATTAACTCTCTTAGAGAAAACCAGACATGGGATTTGGTAGATTTGCCCAAAGGGAGGAAAGCGATTCCTTGCAAGTGGGTGTATAGAATCAAAACCAATCCGGATGGCACAATACAAAAATATAAGGCTCGCCTTGTAGTCAAGGGCTATACTCAGAAGGAAGGAGTAGACTTCTACAAGACATTTAGCCCAGTAGCAAAATTAAACACTGTAAGGGCATTAATAAGTGTTGCTGCACAGGAAAAACTAACTTTGTCACAATTTGACGTATCAACGGCTTTCCTCTACGGAAATTTGAATGAGGAAATTTATATGAAACCTCCAGAGGGGTATGATGATAGAACAGGAGAAGGTTGTAAGCTTAAAAAAAGCCTGTATTAAAACAAGCACCTCGGTGCTGGAACCACTGCATTACACAATATATCATGAAAATAGGATTCAAGCAGTTCGACAGTGATCCATGCCTCATCATTAGAAATAAGGATACTGAAGAAAAGAAAATAATCCTTGCATTATTTGTAGATTACAGATTGATAGAGTCTGCAAACCCAAATGAAACGGAAAAGTTTTTGAATGAGTTAAGACAGTGTTTTAAAATTACCACTCAACCTGGCTCATATTTTTTGGGAATAAAGATTAAGAGGAAAACTGATGAATCTACCAAAATCTACCAATCATCAACCGCATCAAAATGCACCCAAACTTATAGCAATGCAGATCATGGGGGAGATGCCACTACAGTACAATCTACTTCTGGAATGGTCTGCCTTTATTCGAAAGGGGCCATAGCTTGGCAGAGCAAAAACAGAGGACGGTCGCGATTTCCTCCACAGAGGCAGAGATAGTAGCTGCCACTGAAGCGGCCAGAAAGGTGATATGGCTGAAAAAGATTATGAAGTTCATGGTAGCTGGAGAAGTCTCATCAGAATCTCATCTCTTCTTGATAACGAGTCATCTATCCGCTTGGCCCACAACCCACCTTACAAATGTCACCAGAGGACTAAACACATTTGTTTGCGGCACATCTTTCGGGTGTTTTGGGCGTGACACGGGGAAACCTCAAGGTACTGAAAGTGAAAGCAAATGAGCAACTTGCAGATTTCCTGACGAAACCACTTATCAAGCCAAGACTGAAAGAACTTTGCTTTCAAATAGGTTTGAAAAATGAGATGGGATGTTAAGAATTGACGTCTTCTTGGTAGTTTTTCGATCTCTTTAATGTTTTGTGCCTACTTGATGTGTCTGTCATTCCTGATTGTATCTGTCTTTATGTTTTGCTATTATACTCAAATTTTATATTACCAATCCGAGCTTTATCATTTCTTTAATAGTGAAGTGATGTCTTACAGTTTTTGCCATAAATTCGTATTCCCATTAAAAATATTATTTTATGTTAATAAGCCTTGATAAGTACCCAAAACTATTATTAAAATTTAAATGTTAAAAAACCATGTAAATGGTGACTTGAGGACGTGATTTGTGGGGTAAGCAAAAGGAATTTTCAGTGTAGACAAAGAATTATCCTAAGTTCACAAATGACATCATGGGCTTTGTATTGGTGTTTCTTTTGATGTGAAAAACAAGGCAAATCACACATAATCTAATTATTGTTGGATACCCTAAGATACTAATTCTTTTTTGATTAAATGAAATTGTTAATTAAGGTTTAATTATTAAATAACTTCAATAACTAGTATCCAAATAAATATAAAGACACTGTCCATTATTACAAATTACAATTTAAACTTAGCACTAACTTTCAGACAGTGAATTGTCATGTAGCTTTCTTTAGAGACATCACACACTAGGTTTATTATTATTTTGTTTATACCTAAGTTACTGTTTAATGGGTTGAAAAATTATCTGTGTACCTAAATATCTGTGTACCAATTTTAATCAAAATCTGTTAGTAATTTTTATGTGAATGAGTAACACAAACATCCATCCTCACAAACTTTCACAATTGTAAAATTAGTGGCACTTACTAAGTCATCTTTTATTTCACTGTCCTTTGCTTTATCTGGAGTTACAGGTGGAGCGTATGAACAATGGAGTACCACCAAGACACAAAAGAGTTGAGGTAGTAACCTCATGATTGTCTGAAAATAATAATAATTATTTGCCTTGAAAACTTAAGTAAACATAAATATTACTGTATTACTACGGATTAGAAGTTCTAGAACTTTATTTAATTAATGTGTACAATTAATGTATTATCTATAAGAAGTTAATCTGATAGATACTTAGCAGTATCTTGTTATCTTAATTAATTAACTTTAAATTGCAGACTTAAAAGTACATACTGCATATTAAATTTTAAAGTAAGGAAACGCATTTTTTGAAAGCTACCGTGCTACACACCACGTTGTGAATATAATTCTCGCACAGATTTTAATCATGTTAATGGGGTAAAAAGATAGGATTTAAGTGACGCCATCAATACCTAAACGTGCGTCACGGGATTGCTTTATCAAACTACACACGAATCAATTTCTAAAATTTTGAATATCCTTTCCCCAAAGCTAAAAATTTCGAGGAAGCTATCGATATTGTATTCGCAATATCTATTTCTGGTTATTGTTATACTTAGATAATGGCATGGAAGTACTACTGTTTTTATTATATCTGTATAACTCACTTACCTTTTAACACAACACAATCAAAAGGAATATTAATTTTAAATAATTTCGGCAGATGGAGAATGTACTGCTGTATAGAAAGTCCGGGGTCCCGAAAAATAAACGCTAGACAGAAAAACTGCTATAACGTACTTATTGGTACTTATATATACATCATACATATTATGCATACGTAGGTACAAGATTGTTACTGTCATAACATGACACTGACTGACTGACGTGACATGACAGTGTTGCCAACCTAATGAAATTAGAAAACGACAGCTCGTCAATTTACTAAAAACGGCACACTGCTTCGATCAACAATACAACATGCCATGAAGTTCATACAACATACACTGCGACAAGGAACATAATAGCACAGAGTGTATTCTATGGTAATATTCGAAATAATAAGTTGCGTTGACAATTTTATTTTCTTAGTAAAATATAGGTACAAATAATTTATATACGTTGTTAATATGGGTCCGAACGGCAATTAACTAAAAATTAAATGAGGAAGTATTTAAATAAAACGAAGCAAAAAAAAAACACCTCAGCTAGATGGCAACTCTAGCAAAAGTTTATTTTTTGCAGGAAACGAATGAACCAAAGACAGTAATTTCCATACCTTTTAACTAACATATTAAAAAAACTGAAATTTGAAAAGTTTGAAACTTAAATCAATACAAATACGAAAACGTACAAATAGAATATGAGTTGTTTATTGAGTTTTGAAAACTAATTTACTTTTAAACATGAAAGAAAACCGGAAGGGTTCATGGAGAAATCAAGAACGTACCGTAGCGACATCTAGTTTGATTTCGGAAACTAATGTCATTTTTAAATACTTCCTCGTTGAGCTGCAAAAATTAACTTTTGTTAGGTCGCCATCTAGCGAAGTGCTTTTTTAGTGCTTTCTTTTTTTTCTTAAAATACTTCCTCATTAGTGTTTAAATTTTTATAAGACAGAAAATGTAGTAGTAGTACACTACTCTATATATGTACTGTCTTAGAATATTTGGTGAAATGTTTGCTATGTTAACTTCGAATAATGTTATTAAGTAATATAAATTGATATTGTTATTTTTATCATTTTGTGGAGCTTATATTTAATTTGTAATGTATATGTTCGTCGTCTTGAAAAAGACAATATTTCAAATCCAAAATGAATTACTACTGAATCGTAGGACTTGGGATTAGGCCGGAGTTAGGATTCGGTTGCCGACTCGGGTCTTTGGTCTTTTGAGAGCCCTCGGAGACACAGTCTCGTCAAGTCGTGCCCTCTAGACTAAGGCTTTCCCTTGCCTTTCCCCTTCCCTTTTGACAGTAGTCGGTCCTTCTCCTAGCTCGGTACCCGTTCTGCGTTCCCCCATACGTTCGGGGCTGCTTCTCCCGGTTGGGTAGCACTTGGAGTAGATTTGGTGTTGGTAGGTTTCCCTCCTTTCCACCGTTCCCTGTATCATGCCAGTGGTCGGGACAATTCGGTTGCTGGCCCATGCAGCCATTCTGGATTCCCGCCTGAGCTGCTTCTGCCGTTAGATCATTGCCTTCTGCTTTTCCTTCCTCATGAACCTCCTCACTCACTTCTTTAGCTTGAGCATCGGTGGTAGGAGTTTCCTCGTGTGTCACCATTTCGCCATTCTTACCCACAAGAGTCAAATCTTGTTCAGGCAGAATATTGGTTCCCTCTTTGGGCGTATGTTGTGCGTTGTTACCCTCCGAATTCCCTTCGAGCTTGTTGTGCACCTCTGAGGGTATCATTAAGGCCTGCTCAGAAGCGATTATGTCTGCACTTGCTGATGTGTGTGGCAGTGATTTGAACCTTTGAGTGTCCATACTGTGTAGCGTGTAAATTCATCCAGTCCGCTTTCCACCCGCAGATCTGGGAGTGCCCTGTAGAAATGAGGTGCACTAAGATGACGGACTGGATATAGATGCATGGAGTTGGTATCAGGTACGATATCGGAGCCTTGAGATAAGAAGCTGTATTACCTATTCGAGTAACCAAGGTGTTCCACTCATTCTCACCTTGTCAGCTTGACCTTGAACCGTCCAGCCTTGCTCTAAACCTTGCGGTGGCCCTTTCACGGGACGCGTGACCGTTTTCTCTCTGTCGCTACTCAGAGAGGCTAACGTTTTGGTTGAAATCCGGTCCAAAGACGGCGTCTCGCGTCGCGAAGGTACTATCGCCGACCTCGCTTCACTCAACCCTGCAGGACTCCTTCATCTTCACTCTTACGACGCTCAATTGCGAAGGCCGTAGCGCAGGGGGGCTGTTAGTCTATCGGTTCGCCCACCAAAATACGATAGAGCCGAGACCTTTGCAGATCAGCCTAAGATGGAATGCATTGGTAAGATAGCGTCAGACGCTTCAACTACTTGGTTGGAATGTGCAGTGCCTGTTGCTAGATCCAAATATTACCGAGGTGAACGACGTGGATGTACATCTGACACTTGACGGTAGGCATATCCTGCTCAACACCGGAAACTTGAGCATATACCAGCCGCCCTTCACCCCTAAATTCCATACGTTATAGTTATTTATCCCACAACAAAACTCGTGAACTGGCAGATTTTTTACTTAAAGGTATTATATTACGTAATATTTTTAAAACGCAAAACTATTCAAGTGTTAGTACTGTAAGAACCGTTATGGTGAAGGCTGCTGGTGGTCCTACTGAATGATGGAGATAACTGGTAAGGGAGACTAAAGGTAATTGTCTCCATGAGCTAGGTGTTGTAAGCCCGGGGACCGCGGTCCGACCGATTTAGGTTGGACGTTCTATTTATGCTAATTGGTAATTAAACTTATCGTGGGCGATGTAGGATTCTTGTTCTAAATGCTTTGTAGTGTCATACGTATCAGTCACTACAATACTTCCAAGATGTCGTCTGTAACTACGTAGTTACAGACTTAGGTGTAAGACTTTTGCGTTGAAATTAAACATACGAAAAAAAATTGTAGAGTTGAATGTTCTTTACTGAAAGAAATTAAGAAATATGCCAATGGAGTTATATGATAGCTTCCTGAAGTTATTAATAGATACATTTTACGTAAGCAAACGTAATTCGCCAATAAAACTTGTTTATTTGTTTTTTTTTTTTCTTACACATAGAGCATTATGATCCAATGACTTTTTTTGTTTTATAAGCATTCACGTTTTCTTTAAAGTGAATCCAGTGAATCTGTTATCGGCCAATTTTTTTAGTGATTTAATTAAAAAATGCGTATATCCGCGTCAAGATTTCTGTTGCGAAACTCTTACAGAACTCTTGAACCCTCTTGCCTCGCTTGCTATACTCCTGACACAAATATCATACTAAATAGACCGATTTAATGTGCGCATTTCTCACAGATAAATACTTTTGCTTTTGCACAAATATCAAAATAATAATAAAATAGCAATTCATTTTAATTAAAACATAAATAAAATCATAATAATTAATGGTAAAATATATATAATTGAAATAATATTTATTTATGCTTTGTCTTGTCATTAAATCTTTTTTTTAATTATATTATTTCTAACTTGAGATAAGTAGTATACAAACAACTCTCAATCATAATTAATAAGGCCGCCAAAAAAATACAAAAATATATAACAAACTTTATTATTAAATACAACTGATTTTTTATTTATTTCTATTTAAATGTATGTACCTGCTGCATAACTATTACATAATTATTTAATATTACAATATAATTATTATTTAATATAATTATAATTATTACAATACTAATATTTTATCATATGTAAACATATTTAATAAAATGTGCTTAAAAATCTACCAACCCCAGTATTTTCATCATGTACAGGCAATCCACCAAAATAGCCGATAGAAATATTTTTTACAAATATTTTAAACTTTTTGTCTAGATGAAAATTTGTTCTAATTATGTATTATATTTGATCAATTTTGCATTTACAATGTGTTGCTGATAAATACATTTAATGAAAAATGCTTAAAAGACTTGAACCAACAACAGATACAAATGCTTGTGGATTTGAGTCCCATTTCAGGGTACTTTGTACTAGGTATTAGTATAGCATTGTGAATGCAAAATTTATCAAATATCATATGTTACTTATTTAATTCATGGTTTTACATATTAAACTATTATTTAATCTACTTTTAGTATTATATATGAACTTATCATCTGTATTGCTATAGCAAATAGGTCTTGATGATGCCAGAACAAATATATAAGTGCCTATTTAACTTTAATCCTTGGTATTTAAAGTTTTTAATGCAAATTAATAAAACATCAATTACAGTTATATCAAAGGATAAACAACCTGCATATAAAATGTATAGCCTTGTTCATAATATTGAACTTAGTTCAATAATAAACCTTAATTAATCTAACAAATATAACAATAATTAATTTAATATTCTTAATTGTGAAATATAATTTTAACAAAATTTCAGGATTACCAAACTGATTTAAAACTTGATTGACTATAATAGAACATGGTTTAGAATATATATATTTAAGAATCACTTGTTTTTGTTCAGAGTGACATCCAAGCAGAAACTTGTAATCATAATATTGTACTGCATTTATCCATGCTACCATACAAATATTTTTTATGTAAATATGACTTTAATATGTGAACTATGCATTATGAAATTATCTATTTCTGATTAAATTCTACACAATAAACACAATATGTTTTAATTGATCTTTCCTTACTGTATGCATATATTGTTTGACAAGTTTAAATATCTTCGGAATTTTGTAATGTGAGCAAACCTTGGTATTCCATTTCTTTATAAAGTATATCCTGATTCAGTGTATGTAAATTATCTTGAAATCTTTGTCTCAATGCCAAATTTTCCATGCCAGATATTTCATGTTGTGTTCTCTGTCTCCGTTGTTTTAACTCTTCTAACTCTGCTCTTAACTGTTCTATTCTGAAAGTCATATTATCTTTGGACATATCTTGAGATTGAAAATCAAGATCTTCTTCAGAAGAAAGTACAGCACTTTTTGAATATCCTATAGTTCCACTCGTGACAGTATGGCTAGAAGAGGTTTTACGAGAATGGAACATTGCAGGATTGAATTGTGTGGGTAGTGATTCTCTTTTAGTATTTATATCTCCTATTCCGTGCATGGAGTTAGTATCGGACAGTCGACTATCATAAGCAGATAGACGACTATCATCCATTTCAACATTTATATTCTCTTCTTCCAAATCGCTGTCACTCACAGCTCCTCCAAATATGTCAACAACATTTGATGATTCTGGATTGGTTGCATCAGACATGGATTCTCTTTTACGATCAACTTTTGATTTTTTATCTGGTTTCACATTTGCTGGTGAGCTCTTTTCTATCTTAGAATGTTGCTCATCATCTTCTTTTATTACCTCCCATGTAAAACTAACAGCTTCATTATCTGCTCTAAGTAAACGTTTTACTTCTTTTTCAATTTCAGGTGCTTCAACAAACTTTTTCTTTAGGGTTTTTCTAAAACGACGTTTACGAACATTTTTTGTTGGGGGTGTAATACCATGGGGCCAAAGAAACTTTTTATCAACCTTATAGGGATCCTTTTTCTTATTTTTGGCAGGTGATTCCTCTTCTGTGGGTGGTTGATCTGGTTCATCTTTGCATATCATCATTTGGCAAATATCTGCCGTTTTATAAAAACTTTTATTGTCAATTGTTTTCATTGATTCAATAACAGTAGGAAGATCCACAATTTTAGCATGCATCAACCAGTGGTCAAACCGCACTTCTCCATGACGCATATCATTATCAATTTGAATAGTAAGACGGTTCTTTAAATTATCGCCAGATTTAAGAATTCCTCTTAGCAATTTTGCAGGTTCTTCAGGAAGTCTCATTATAAACTGTGATTCGAGCTCTGCAGGATACTCTGGTTCTCTTTTATCCCTGTTCATTGTCACTACGTTTCCTGTAAAATTAACAACAAAATAAACTTAAAATTTTAGTATAAATAAAATTTATTAATGAGACGTCATAATAGTAAACAAACGCTTACTTTCTTATTTGTTGTGACGTTCAGTAGAGACCAAAATGAAAGGAGAGTGACTAAAGTATATAATTATTAAACCAGATACAATACAATACTAATTTTGTAAAACTTCAATAGAATTACGTAATTTATTAATATAATAAAATAGATTGGTGCTCGGAAGAAACCAGTACGTAAAACTTTGCCAATATGTACGTGGTAGGTACTAGGTACTCATCATCACTCACGTACCCATAGATAGGGATATTCGATATACATCGATGCGTCGAATTCACTCGATGTTTACATGTCGATACATCGAATCGATTCGATGTTTTGAAAGCTATTAATTTCTTCGATGTATCGATGTATTTCATGAAACATCGAATAAACTGTAACTAGCTAACTACTGATTAGGTATATTATAATGATTCAATTCAATTGCTTTATTTTAGAGGACAAAAATAAAACCTATTGGTGGCAATGGTGGCGCTAGTAAGCGGTTCTTCTTCTGTTTATAGCGACGAACTCATGTTTTACCGCTAAGGGTACATTATTCTAGGTTCCGCCAAAGTCACGTGGGTAGCTTTTACTACTTTACATGGCAAGCATAGATGCAAAAATAATTTTGATTAAAATTTTTATTGACGGAATCTAGAAATTAACGTTGGTAACACTGCGTCAGTACATCACAATGACAAAGAATTTAAAAAAGTTTTTGACAGCATCAACCGTTGGTGTTGTTGATTGTGTGTGTCCCGATAATTTGATGAGCTTTAAGTGAAAACATTTAATTACATTTGGATTTAACTGTGTCGTACATTAGCAATTTGCATACCTTACAGAATATTAGTGCAGAATACCTTGCTGCTAGTGCAGTACAAGTACTGATTATCTAGCAGTACTTGTACTGCACTAGCAGCAAGGTTATTCCACTTATTTTAAAAGTACAAATTCTTCAGCTCGAGGATTCTCTTGGAAAAGATCTGAAATGGCTAGTCTTAAAAGAGATTGCCAAAAGAATGGGTGTTATAGAGAATGTGACCCCTCTCGCCATAGCTACAGTATTAGACCCAAGATTCAAGAAAATGCATTTCACAAATCCTCTTGCTTGCTCTTCAGCTGTTGCAAAAGTCAAAGACTTATTGAAAACTATAGCACAAAATGAGGTAGAATTAGATTCTTCGGATAATTCTGAGAAACCTGAAGATAACTTTTGTTTATGGGAATTAGTCCGTAAGAACTGGAAAACGTCGACGGCTCTAGTTCTGGCGAGCTATCTATATATTTACGTAGTCCAGTAGGAAGACTCAATGAAAACCCATTACAGATATGGAATGATCTTAAAATTCAGCTACCCAAACTACATATAATCGCTTACAAGTACCTCACCATGGTGGGGACTTCAGTACCAGCTGAACGTTTATTCTCAAAAGCTGCACAAACAGTTAATCAACAACGTAATCGACTAAAGGGCTCCCGCTTAAATAAACTTCTGTTTTTGCAAAGTCTTCCAAAAGAACACTGGAAATATTTCCAGTATTCCATTGGGATTTTTATTTTCGCTGATTTTTTTTAAGTCTTTTCAGTCGCCTCTTCTCGTAATAGGTCTACAAATGAGACCCCTGTCACATTATATAAATAGATATATTTTCGATGTACCGAGGTCCTACGACTATTGAGTAAGTGTTAGTATGATAAGGTTCCACAGTGTATACATAATTCATAGACTTGACTGTACTTTTTGTAATAAAAATAAAGGATATTTTCACACTTACCTTTGGTAATCATTTTTTTAAACTGTTAAAAAAGTACTCGATTTTAGAAAAACATCGATGTTTTAAACCGATGTATCGAAAAGTATCGATGCATAGTCGCGATGTATTGCATCGAAAAAAACATCGATGTATTTTCTTAACGGACACCCCTACCCATAGAAAAATTATTGACCAATCATAAAAGGAGTAAAGTGTACAGTAGTGAAGTTCAACTTGAAATATTTAATCGATTTTAAGGATTCGGACCTTGAATTTGAATACGGAGCTATAACGACGACTGTGACATGGAGCGAAGATTGCATTTACGTTAAGATGCTAAAAACAATACAAAATTAACCACCTTAAAGAAAATCCTAATAAAGTGAAACAACTGAAAAGAGACAAATCATACCACATTTTTTTAACTTCAATAATATCGAAACACAAAACATTTCGACAATTTATATTTAAGTCGGTGCTAGATATTTAAATAAAAGCTAACCACTGCGTTATCGAGCTCCTTTAGTTATACGGTTTATCGGCGATTAAAGTAACTATAGACAACCGTTCGCCTTTATCGTTCATCGCGATTAATGATAAATGAACGTTTAAACAGCGGCAGATTGTTTCACTTTAGTGAATAATTATTAACATATGAGTTATGAACAGTGGTCGGAATTAGGTAGAGTTATTCATGTACTTACTTGATTTCATACAGCGAAAGAACAAAGTGGATATGCCTCAAATCCCGAGATTAATTTTAAAGAGCAGAAAAAATCCCGTGATTTTTTAAATAAAATGTTATTTACTTTTACACAATTTAAACTACTGCACGCACGACGTTGCCAAACTTACATCAATGACATCTTACATCAATTTGTATTGTAAATTAATGTAAACTATTAAAAATTTTATGTTAATTATCTTTGTTTTATTTATCTATCTCTGACGTTGTTATTATTATTTAGTTGTAAGATTGTTGGCCACACGGGATTGTCCATTAGAAATCCCGGGAAGGTCCACATTAATATCAACATTTCGATGCAAGTACATAAATAACTCTACCTAATTCCGACCTCAGATCCATTTTTGTGTTTAGTTATCAAATTGTTGTCGTGTGTATAAAGTAAAAATATGAAATGCACAATTTCATTTTAACATTTTCATGTCTAATTACAAACATTTGTTCACTATTTATCGTTTATCTGCAGTCAATGATTTTCGATGTGTAATAACGTCTAGTAACGGCTCAGCCAGCTTATAGTTATAAATATAGATCGGTATTTGTTAAATTTAATTATGCTTTTCCCGATGACTATGAATCACAGATAACCTCCAATAGACGCCGCGTGAAAGACAGTAAGCAGTAGCCAAGTATCTATGATTCTGCATTGATCGTTTTACAAAAGTAGTAATATGCATATGCGAATCCTCAGTTACGACCAAGTCTTCGATCTGTGTGCTTTAACGTGAATACTTTTCTTTATAATAAAGTAGTCATTAGGTTAAATATGGCAAATGGTGTTAAAAAAATTCCAGAACATCTAATTGCAAGATATAATAATAATAAGCCGTTTATTCTAAACATTTGATTTTGGTTTACATAATTAGGTTGTTTATAATAAATCTCTGATTTCAGTGTGCTTCTTGGCATAGGCCTCCTCTAGCATCCTCCATTGGTTTCTATCTCTTGCAACTCTTCTCCAATTAGGTCCTGCGGTTAGTTTTAGCTCGTCTTCCCATCTTTTACCTTGTCTTCCTCTACTTCTTTTACCGTCTCTAGGATACCACTCAGTTACAATCCTACTCCACCTTTCCTGGGTCCTTCTTAATATATGGCCAGTCCACCTCCACTTTAATTGGTCAATTTTTGTCAGAATATTTATTACTCCTGTCTTTGTTCTTATAACGAAGTTTCTTATTTTATCTTGTTTCCTGATGTCTATTATACTTCTTTCCATAGCCCTTCGACAGTGTACTAGCATTTCTCTGTGATGTTTTGTGACCAGGTATCGCATCCATATGTGAGACAAGGGATTATGAATGTGTTGAAAACTTTTCGTTTAATTCCTATGCTGAGTTCGTTGGATTTCATAATCTCTTTTAAAGACCAACATTTTTTCCAACCATTTGTAGTTCGTCTTTTTATTTCTTTGGTGGTTTGGTCTTCATGTGAGATTATTTGTCCTAGGTATATGTATTCTTCCACGTACTCTAGAGAATTATTGTTTATTTTAATTACTTGTTTTTCGCTATTTGTTGACAGTTTATTTTTGCTTGTATTCATTTGTAGACCAACTTTCTCGCTTTCAATAATTTTTCCTAAGTTACGTGGACCCTATTCGAATAGGACGATGTCGTCAACAGATCTAAGATGATTTATTTTTCTACCATTTATGTTGAGGCCATAGTTATCGCAATTTAACTTACGGAAAATATTTTCCAGTACTGCTGAGAAAAGTTTGGGTGAAAGTGGATCCCCCTGTCTCACACCTCTTTCAATGTTAAATGCTTCTCCTAAAGTTTCCAATTGAATTCTTGCTCTGCTGTTGGAATATATTGTTTTTATAATTTTCATATATATCTGAGATTCCTTGATTTTCTAAGCTTTCCCATGTGAAATGCTGTCAAAAGCTTTGGTATAATCGATGAAAGCCTTATATAAAGGCTTGTTATACTCCTTATATTTTTCGATTATCTGTTTCACCACAGAACACGGAAAAGAGGTTAGAAAGGCGATCATGCATCCTTTGTACGAAAACCGATGTCGCCAGTCTTGCCCCACTTTTAGTCCGCCGTACATCAGATGAAATATCAGACCAATTATACAAAAGATATGCACACACTTGCATTTTAAACATGCCAATCAGAACGCTCCAATATAACTATAACCAATCACGCTCAACCATAACAGACATCTATAGTGCGCAATAAACGTGTAAAAGCCATTTTAATTTGACATATCACACTAGTGATTGATATAAAGTTATTAACTATCGATACCTATTGAAAAACAACAAGTCGATTAATTGAAAGGATACTAGAGAAATGATTTCTTTATATTCTTTTGGATATACATTGAATTGTATTGATAAAATGTGATATTATCTTTTTTCTTTAGATATTAATTCTTAATTAGTTGGTTGATTCAAAAAGAAATATTTAAATTACTAATGAACTAACATTGAATCGGTACTAGTCGAGCTTAAATATTTATTTGCATATAAATATGTTTGTTTATTAATAATAATAGTAGGTATTTTTTATGTTACGTTACTCGATTTTGTATCAAGTAAACAGATAAGATTGGCAATATCGCTTAAATGAAACTATACTCCATTCATTATAGCATTAGACAGAAGTTAAATAAGGTTCTTTTTATGGCATACTTTGTGACAAAATATTAACAATCGTGTTACTCTTAAGACTGACGGCTTATTTACTA